TAAGCACCCAATGATAAATGTAAATGTATTGTATACCTAAAATGTACCAATAAAAGAATTTAAGCAAAAAAAAAAGTTTATTGATACATTTTAGGTATACAATACAGTTACATTCATCATTGTGATCTTGTACCTTTACATGATGTATCTTGGTTCTTAATTTTTCCCCATTCCCCTGCCCTCCCTTCACCCCCTCCACCCTTCCCTATTTACAGACTTTGTTTCCATGTTTTTCCTTTTCTCATATTTTTTCTTTTCCCTTCTTTCCTTTCCCCTACCCCTCCCACTTCCTCCACTCCTTTAGACCTTTTCTTCCTATTTCACAATATCAATTACACATTTTGTTTCTTATTTACACTTTTAGTTTTTCACATCAGAGAAACTATTTGGTATTTACACATGAGTATGCAGCATTTTTAAAAACAATGTCTTCATAGAAATTATAGGAATAGATATCTCCTCATTAAAGCTTCATTCTCCAAAGGGTACTTAATCTTATTTAAGGGGAAATGGAAAACAAACACATCGGAGTTTAGGTTTATGAGCAGAAAAACATCTGTACAAAATCAACTGATTCTGGCCAGCCAGAAGCAGAAAAAAAAGGATCCTGATGATGAATTCTCCCTTCTACAAAGCAGTCATAAAAATCAGGAGAGAAGTAAGGGAAAATGGCTTTTTGCACTTTAAAAAAGTGATTTTCTGTAAAAGGCACACCCCCTCCCACTTGATCCTTCATTAACAAACAGCATTACTAAGTACTTTAAATAAATCAAAATTCATGATGTAATAGAGTGACTATTAAGAAAGTCTTTGACAATTCCGAGGATTTAGCTCAGTGGTTCTGCCTCCTGTATCGAAAGCACAAGATCCAGAGTTCGATCCCCAGTACAACAAAAGAAAAGGAAGTCTTTCTTTGACAGGTGAAAGTAGAATCAATTCAGACTTCACAGGTCTTTCATTCATATTAGAGAGATAGGACATGTGATATTAAAAAAAAATTTATGTTCTATGCAACATTGCATAGAATTTACAGTATGTGCTGTACTGCAGACACAAACTAATAGTTTAAAGTTTTCCCATGTAAGCACATTTAATTTTTACCAAGAAAAATAGATCTAACCAAGAAAAATTATTTTAACATAAACTCAAATGATAATACATACACTTTTCATTTGTCAGTTTATTTCTGATGAATTGATATCATTAGTGCACTATAATCTGAGATGTAGATTCATTTGATACTCTAGCTACAGGAAAACAAAATGTATCAAAAAACCTGGATACTAAAGCATAAACACTTAATTTGCTCAAAGATAAAATAAGGAAAATCCTTAAAGGCATAAGCACAGGCAAAGAATTTTCTGAAGAGAATCCAAATTGCATAAAAAATAGTCTCAAGGATCAATAAATGGGATTATATCAAATTAAAACTCCACAGCACAGTTTAGGAAACAACCATCAGAGTGAAGAGACAGTATACAGAATGGGAAAATTTTTTGCCAGCTACACCTTGGCCAGAGGACTAATATCTAGAATATATAAACACACACACACACACACACACACACACACACACACACACACACCAAAATAAAAGACCCCAATCAAAAAATGGGGAATTGAAATGAATAGATACTTCTCAAAATCAGGACTGCAAATGGTCTTTAAGTACATGAAAAAAAGTTCACCATTTTTGGCCATTAGAGAATGTAAATCATAGCAACACTAAAATTCCATCTTATTCAAGAAAGAATGGCTATCATATAGAACTCAGAAAACAACAAGTCTGGTAAAGTTGTGGGAAAAAGGAACCCTGATATATTGTTTTACTGTTGTTGTTGTTGTTGTTGTTGTTTTTCCCCCATTAAGTTTATTGGTATATTTTAGGTATAAAATACAGATACATTCATCACTGGGATCTTGTACCATTACATGAGTATCTTGGTTCTTATGTTTTCCCCATTTCCCTGCCCTCCCTTCACCCCCTCCACCCTTCCCTATTT